GAAGAGCGGGGCCTGGAGGAAGCCCCCGGTGTGGTTACCAAGCCCGCGGTGGGCCAAGGCCTTGGAGTGGGTCCCCCAGAAGGGCAGCAGTGCGGGGCTTTCCCTCCTCACTCAGCCGAGGCCTAATGGAAGTACTGGTTATCCTTTTTTTTCCTTTTCTTTTTTGAGGGGACATAGGGGGAGAGGAGAGGAGAGCCTCTCTGTGCCTTAGTTTCCCCATTTGTGCATACAGGGCCTCTGCAGGCCTCACACAGGGAGTCTGAGGGGGTAGTGTTTAAGTGAGCACTCGGGATTCCTCTGAGGAAAAGGAACCACCAAAGTGCAGACTTTTATTACTGCCGTTCCTGCTCCCAACGGGAACAAGAGTCAAAAGGAAAACAAATTAAAAGGGGCTAATGAGAGAGGAAGAGAGATGAGACAGAGAGTGCGAGGGGCCGTGCCGTTGGCATCTCATAAGTTCTTACTGAGAACGGCACAGGTATTAAAAAGTTTCTGGGTAGTCTACGAGAAATGTGAATTGTTATCTATACTGCAATTACTTACATATATCTCACTGGAAAAGAGTGGGGCTTGGGCGTTAGAGAGTGGACAGGGGACAAAGGAGAAGCTGCACGAATAAATACAACAAGTGGAAACTGCCTACCCCATTCCTGAAAGGATTTGCTGGCAATGTTGGCACTTTGTAGCCAGGAGAATCTTCCAACCCCACTCTCCATCCCCCTCCATTCTGAAGGCCTCAAGAATCCAGTTAGAATTCCCTGGCCAGAGTTCTCTGTGACTGCCCCTGGACTCATGATGTGCAGCAGCTTGAGAGGATTTGAGCCAGTCTCAAGAACCTTTACCCCAGAATTGGGCCAGTGACCCCAAGCAGGAGAGCTGGGATCTGGGAAGAGAGGGGAGTCCAAGGAGCTTCTGTGGCTGAGGCCATGGAAAACCAGTGCCAGGGCCCAAGGGACCCATTTGTCCAGTTACCAGAGGTGATTGACATCTTCTGCAACTGCTTGGAGTCCAGAAATTTAAAAAAGCTTGCAGCAAGAAAATGCCAGTTTACAACTGGGTGAATAAAGACCAAAGAAAAACAGTAATAGGAACAGCTTACTTGCTCTCTGTCTCAGGTTATCTTCTCCCATTAAATCTCTCACAGCCCTAATCAGACACAATAAAAGTCTCTTCCATAGACAGGCTACTTCTCAGCTTCAGTGGCCTCCTGTGAGGGCTCTGGGGGCTCTGGGGGTGGCATCTCTTCAGGAGTGCTGGTGTCCTCCGGCATCTCATCGGAGCTTAGATGGTCTGTTGGAGCCTGAGAAGGAAAAGATATCAAATTCAATACAAAGCTCTCCCTCAAAATACAAATGGAGATAATCCATAGACACTGAACTCTTCCTCTGAACCCATCAACCACACGGACGCTACAGATACGCCTCCACCAACACCAAACTCAGAACCAAGACTAGACTGTCGTCTTCTCAGCAGAAGGCAATTGAAGTTTATTTGAGTTCTATTCTTAACTGTCTGTTGTGGACAGGTGTTTCTATTATTATGCATGATAATAATAAAAGGGACCACAAATAATTACACAGACCACCTTCCCTCCTTCACAACACAATGTTATAACATACTTGTCTAACAAGGCCTGACACGGTGGTTCTCAATCTTCTTTCGGCCCTAACACATACCTCCCTAGAACAGTGATTCTAAACCAAAGAGGGTGGGGTGGTAAAATCTTCAGATGGTATATCTGGTTTGAAAATGTCTCCTGAGTGATTCTAAAATACCAACCTTCCCCACATTCAACTGAGAATCACTAACCTATACTGTAATGATTTAAGATCAGACTCATCAGAAAAACAATATTCAAAATGATGATTAATGATATATAAACATGAGTTTGCTGTACTTCAAAAAAGAAAATTAAAAATTTAAGAAAGGCAAAGTGGAGAACAATTATCTAACTTACAAATAGCATTCATCTAAGAGTAGGATTCGATTTCTTTTTCTTGGCCGCGCTGCGTGGCTTGTGGGATCTTAGTTCCCCAACCAGGGATTGAACCCCGGCCCATAGGCAGTGAAAGTGCTAAGTCCTCACCACTGGACCGCCAGGGAATTCCAGGAGAATTTGATTTTAAAAGAAAGTTCAAGTCTACTAAAAATCTATTAGAACTAATAAAAAAAGTTTAGCAAGGTTTCAGGATACAGAATCAATATACAAAAAAACCAATTGGGCTTCCCTGGTGGCGCAGTGGTTGAGAGTCCGCCTGCCGACGCAGGGGACACGGGTTCGTGCCCCGGTCTGGGAAGATCCCACATGCCGCGGAGCGGCTGGGCCCGTGAGCCATGGCCACTGAGCCTGCGCGTCTGGAGCCTGTGCTCCGCAACAAGAGTGGCCACGATAGTGAGAGGCACGCGCACCGCGATGAAGAGTGGCCCCCGCTTGCCGCAACCGGAGAAAGCCCTTGCACAGAAATGAAGACCCAACACAGCCAAAAATAAATAAATAATAATTAAAAATGAATATCTGCTAAAGAAAATCTGAATTGAGTTGTGTCAAAAAAAAAAACTTGCATACATATGCTCACTACAGCATTATTCGTAATAACCAAAAGGTGGAAACAACCTAAATGTCTATCAATTGATGAATGGATAAATAAAATGTAGTCTATCTATATAACAGAATATTATTCAGCCATATAAAGGAAAGAAGTACTGCTACATGCGACAACATAGATGAACCTTGAAAATACAAGGCTAAATCAAAGAAGCCAGTCACAAAAGACCACATATAATATGATTCTATTTTTATGAAATGTACAGAAGAAGCCTACAGCAAAAGAAAGTAGATTAATAGTTCCCTAGGGATGGGGCTGAGGGAACTGGGGGGAAAGGGAGAGTGACTGCTAATGAGTACAGGGTTTTTTTTGGGGGGGGCAATGAAAATGTTTTAAAATGGATTGTTGTGATGATAGCACAGTTCTGTGAACATATTACAAACCAGTGAATCCTACATTTTAAACAGGTATATTATGGTATCTGAATTATATCTCAACAGAGCTATTACAAAAAAAAAAGAAAGTTCAACTAATAACTCTTTAGGAACACACTTTATTAAAGCATATGTGATCAGTATAGCTGGGAGAGTTTCCACATCTGCATATTCCAGTGAGGAAGCCTCCTTCTACCAAGGTAACCACACCACTAACTCCAACCCACCCCCCTGACCCCTGTCATTGCTCCTATAGCGTTTTATGCTTCCCTCATCAAGGCACTTTTCACTACACGGACTAATAACCTGTTTTCTCTCGTCCCCACTAGACAATGAGCTCCATAAGAGCAGACGCATTATGTGACTTGTTCACTGGTGTATCCCTAGCACCTAGCACATTGGCTGGCACAGAATGTTGAAGAAATGACTAGATCTCAATCTATGTAAAGGGCACAAAGATCTTAAGGCAATATCAGGGCAGAAGCAGAGACAGGGAAGCTGGAGTGACTGGACACAAAATTGCCTAATTATATCTCTAAGGTGTAAATTTAGTCTGCACCCTCTATCCCCAACTCAGTCTTAAAGTCTAAAAGTCTTAAAAAGTCAGGAACACTTACTGGGCTCTGAGGCAAGAGGCTGGTACTGGCCTCCTGAGTACTGGGAGGTCGACTTCCACTTTCCTCCAGTGGCAAAATACCCCTTCGATCCAGCACACTGAAGGAGACAGGAGAGTTAACAAAGCACTTTGCATCCACCTCTCCACCCACCCACCCCACTGAATCTTCCTGTGTGCGCTGGAAAATATACATCTGCCCTTTGGCAGTCTGGTCTGATCCTAGCACACATCTCCTACCTTCCATTCACTTTTTCTTCCACAAACCAGGGAATACCACATTAACAAGGGAACAAACAGATAAAATAAGAATGAAAGGTCATCCCTTCAAAACAACCAGCCCATGGCCTATGGTCCATGTAGATATGGCACCAAGGGACAATCCCTGGGAAGACCTCTTTTGACACGAAGAGGCCATGTTCAGAAGAATGCATCACACCAGGTGACAGGATCAGGTCAAACTGCTTGTCCCAAGAGTTCCAGGATCTTCTAGTCCTCTGTGTACCTGGGGGGCAAGGGGCCACACAGCACTTCACAGCAGTTCTTCACAATATTGCCATGGCTATAGGGATTCTGGACACGATTCTTCCCTGTCCATGAGCCTTTGATCTGCAAGATAGATAAAAGCCAAGGCTTAAACATTATGTTGAAGAAATACATGCAGCAAAGGAAGATGAAAAAGTTCTGGAGATGGATGGTGGTGATGGTTGCACAACAATGTGAATGTACTAATATCACTGAATTGTAAACTTAAAAAATGGCTTAAGATGGTACATTTTAAGGACTTCCCTGGTTGTCCAGTGGTTAAGAATCCGCCTGCCACTGCAGGGGACACGGGTTCGATCCCTGGTCCAGGAAGATCCCACATGCTGCAAAGCAAATAAGCCCCTGTGCCACAGCTACTGAGCCCGCATGCCTAGTGCCCGTGCTCCGCAATAAGAGAAGCCGCCGCAATGAGAAGCCCACGCACTGCAACGAAGAGCAGCCCCTGCTCACCGCAACTAGAGAAAGCTTGTGCGCAGCAACGAAGACCCAGCGCAGCCAAAAAAAAAAAAAAAAAGATGGTGCATTTTATGTGTCTTTTACCACAACAGAAAAAAAAAATACATGCATAGCCACAGAAAAATATTCACAATAGAGTAAAAAAAGCAGATACCTGAGCGTTATGTATTATTTCCATTTAAAAATACATAATATATTCACATAAACAAACATGGGAACAAGTCTAGACAAGTCTAGAAGACTATAGACCATACCATTAACAATGGTGATGCCTAGGAGGTAAAATTACACGGACTTATTTGCTATTTTTTGCTCATCTGTACTTCCTGATTTTCTACAATGAATATGGATTAATCGGTAACTTTTTGTTTTTAATTCATTAATTTATTTATTTTAGGCTACGTTGGGTCTTCGTTGCTGCACGCGGGCTTTCTCTAGTTGCGGCGAGCAGGGGCCACTCTGTTGCGATGCGCAGGCTTCTCATTGCAGTGGCTTCTCTTTTGCGGAGCACGGGCTCTAGGCGTGCAGGCTTTAGTAGCTGCGGCATGCAGGCTCAGTAGTTGTGGCTCACGGGCTCTAGAGCGCAGGCTCAGTTGTTGTGGCTCACGGGCTCTAGAGCGCAGGCTCAGTTGTTGTGGCGCACGGGCTTCGTTGCTCCGCAGCGTGTGGGATCTTCCCAGACCAGGGCTCGAACCGGTGTCACCGGCATTGGCAGGCGGATTCTTAACCACTGTGCCACCAGGGAAGTCCCAATCGGTAACTTTTTAAAAGCAAGGACTTATTCAATGCAACTGTCCCTCTCCATTCCAAACCCAGAGGCACGAGTTAGCTTTTAAGGACCTATGAACAGCTAAAGACCTTGTGCTCACCCAACCATATTCAATCTCTTCTTCCTAATTCCCTACAGGCATTCAGCTCCAAACAGAGCAGTCTGCTTTTTCTTCTACACACCTGGTTTAACAATCTCCCACACCTGGCTTCTGCCTGCCTCAACCTCCCAGGCCCTGGAGACTCAGTTCTCCAGCAGGTCATTAGAGAATAGGCTTTTGGTAGAAGAATATGTAATGAGGAGTAGAAAAGTTGACTCACATCTTCATTGGTTGTCTGGTTGAGAGCCACAAGGAAAGTGTGGAATCCAGTCAGTCCCACGACGGACCAGAGTGTGAAGAAGCAAATGAGTACTTCCAGAACAGTGAGGTGTTGGTTAAGGAATATTGAAGAAGCCACACCAGGGGACTTGATGCCGCAGCCCATACTCATGACACCAGTCACACCATCTTTACCCCTTGGAACATATATCACAAATATATATCCATACATAACAACGGGTGAATTCTAAACTTGCTGGCTATATCCCTCATGAAAGGTAGAGGATGCCTGTTTATCCACTACAAGTAGCTCTCTAACAGATCTAGTCTATTTAGGTGTTTGTCTCTTTATTCATCACTGGCTCTTCGAAGGGGACATTTAGGAGGGGTCCAAAGCTAAACAATGTTGGCCATCACTGCCAACGGAAAACACATCAAAAAATAAACTTTATAGATGAAAAAACTGGTGGGAAAGAAACCAGAATGTGATTTCTAGAAATCCCATCTGAATCTCCTTTTCAAAAATGTAACTGCTGTACAAAATAAGCTTAGCTGTAACGGGAAGGTGGGACTTCTACTAAGTGATGCAAGAGGTCTATTGAGAGCAAAGTATAGCCCACTAGAGAATGCAGGGCTGAGCCTGGGATCAGAAGGACTTGGGAGGGAGGCAGTGGAGACAAAGTTGAAGGAAAGACCTCCCTTTAAGCCCTGGCCATCCTCCATTCTAGTTGCTACCACTAAGGCTACATTTAAAAATTTTAGACGTTGGCACTCTCTGATGTCTGAAAAAAGAGATGGTGGAGAACTGCAGATAGAAAGCATGCTGAAAAGTAGTTTAAGAGGGCTTCACGGGGACACCCTGCCAGGGGAGGATATGTTCCAGGAGTTTCTTTCAATGTCTCCAGGAAGCCAATTTTCAAGGATTCTGTGAAATTGGGAGGAGGAGTAGAGAGAAAGATTAGTAACTTTAGTAAAAAATACACACATACCCTAGTGCCTACTCACTTTCTTCCCTCCCTATCCCTTGTCACAAGCCGGCAAGAGATAAGCCCTCATTCAGGCAAGGAACTCACACCTCCAAGCTGGTACTCTCTTGACTAAAGGGTCCACCTTCTCAATACAGGACCCAACACTGGACTAGAGAGTCGGCCACAAGCCAAGCATCTGGCTCCCCTCCCTTTTGCCTAGCCTCCAGCTATGGCCATGGAGCGGGATATTCATTCATAGATGATAGAAATCAGAAATATCCAAGAAAAATCCTCTCTCTTCATCAATCCATATCTCTTCACTGTTCAAAATCCAGCTCAGGACTCATCTCTCCCCAGGAAGCTGCCTTGACTAAGACCACTCCTTTAACTCTGCATCCCATCTGCCCTTGGGCTGTTTTATGTGTGTGTATGTGTGCACGTGCACACATACACACACACACACACACACACACACAGGTGTATATTTTCTATCTCCAAAAGTAGACCATGAGCCACTAAAAGGCATTTCTCTGGTGTAACCCCTTCTACCACCTGACACAAGGGCAGGTCTTATGAGGCAAAAGAGGTGACACATACAGCCAAAAATACATCCCCAACCTTTGGGATCACCTCAGAAATGCCCAGTACTCTAGGTACAGACCAGTAATTATGGTGCTGGTCTCCAGCAGAGGGCCACTGAGAAGGCCAACACACTCGGTAAATCCTAATTGATGTGAGCTGAGGTTTGGAGCTCTGTTCAGGAGCAGATAGTAGTGCTCACTTCTAACTGGTCCTAAGGTGCCTTCGCAATGGTAAAGTCCCACCAGGATACGGAACCACTCCCCTAAGCTGTCCTCAGGTCTTCTCCCACCACCCACCCCTCCAGCAGCATACACTGCCCTGTATACTCACTGAGGGCCACGTAGACGATGTTGAAGGCAAAGACATAGATCGTGAGGAGGGACAGAGAAAGGATGAAGAGGTAGAAGTAGCGGTAGTTCCTCTTTCCAACACAATTCCCCACCCAGGGGCAGTGATGGTCGAAGCGCTCTGTGGGAGAAAGAGAGAGTCCAGTGCCAAAACCTCCAAAACTAAGCACAACCCTGCCATCCACTTAATACCTAAGTCCAAGACCCCTAGGATCGCTGCCTATCTCAACTGTAAAAAACACTGGTTTTGTATACACTGATGTGTATAAAATGGATGACTAATAAGAACCTGCTGTATAAAAAAATAAATAAAATAAAATTCAAATAAATAAAACCAAAAAAAACTATTTCCTTCCAAAATAAATTTTAAAAAAAACGCTGGTTTTTATTTTTCACTTTTTCACAATGTTTTCACAGCCATCTCATGTGATCCCCACAATCGTCCTGGAAGTTGGGCAAAAGAAGATATTCTTTTCTCCATTTTACAGATGAGAAAACTGAGGCACTGAGGGGCTACGTGATCTGTCTCACTGTCAGTTAACAGCAGAGACCTTGCTTTTCCAAAGAAAAGTCTTAGTGTGTCTACTAAGTGCAGGAAGAATAAATAGGTGTAAATACCCAAGGGACTTTTGAAAAATGAGTAGCGTGGTTTTTCTTAAACTCCAGTTAGTAAAAAATTATACACCTACATACCTGAAATGGTGTGGCATAGCTCAATGGAATGGAAATCACCCAGAAACAGAATATATAAAAATTTACTGTCTGAGAATGGTAGCGCTTCAAAACCAGTAGAGAAAGGAAGTATCATTCCATCAACAACTCAGAGACAATTGGTTACTTGGTTGGAAATAAGGTTAGATCTTTTTCCCTCACACTATTTACCAAAATTAATTCCAGATGAATTAAAGAGTTAAATGTAAAAACAAAGCGAAACCTTAAAATAACCATAAAGAATAGGTGAACATTTGTCTCCTGTATGGAGAAGGACTTTCTAAGCATAAAAGTAATGGAAAAAAACCACAGATGACAAAGAAAAATAGATTTGACTCCATACACTTTAAAAAATATTTTATAGATGTTAAAAATACCATAAAGAAAATTAAAGAGGAAAAAAAACCCCGAGAAAGTATGTGAATTTTGTAACTTAGTCTATGAAAAGTCCTTACAAATCAATAACAAAATACAAATACTCCTTCAAAAATAGTCAAAAAGCAAAACAGTTAATAAATACCATATAAACATATATTTAAACGTTTCAGATTCACTAACTCATCGCAATACTAATACAACAATAAGATACTTTTCTGCCTATCAAAATAAGAATATAAAAAATAATATTCAGTGCTAGTGAGAACACGGTAAAATGTACACTCTAATATACTGTTTGTGGAAGTACAAATTGACAGAACCTTTCTGGAAAGCAATTTGCCCGTATGTATCAAGAGCCTTAATAATGCTCACACCCCTTTGGCAGAATAAATCCATTTTTAATAATTTCTCATAAGGAAATAGAGATGTGCACAGAAATTTAAGTTCAATATTTTTTTATTAAATTTTTTATTGTGGTAAAATATATGAAACATACAATTTGCCATTTTAACCAATTTTAAGTGTAAAATTCACTGGCATTAATTACATTCACAATGTTGTACAACCATCACAACTACCTATTTCCCAAAATTTTCATCACCCCCAAACCACCGCTTGGATTGTCTCCATCTTTTGGCTTTCATGAACAGTGCTGATGTGAACACTGATGTACAAGTACGTTTGAGTTCCTGTTTTCAGTTCTTTTTTGGTATTGTTATGGACAGAACTGTGTCCCCCCTAAAATTCATACATTGAAGCCCTAACCCCAGTGTGACTGCATTTGTAGACAGGGCCTCTAAGGAGGTAACTAAAGTTAAATAAGGTCATAAGGGTGGGGCCCTAATCCAATACAACTGGTATCCTTATAAGAAGAAAAGGAAGAGATACCAGAAGTGCGCGAGCACAGAGAAAAGGCCATGTGAGGACACGGCAAGAAGGTGGCCACCTGCGAGCCTCACCAGAAATCAACCTAGTCGGCACTATGATTTTGGACTTCTAACCTCCAGCACTATGAGAAATTAAATTTCTGTTATTTAAGCTACTCAGTCTGTGGTATTTTGTTGGCAGCCCGAGCACACTGGGTAATACAGGTATATACCCAAGAGTGGAATTGCTGGGTCATATTATTCTATGATAACTTTCTGAAGAACTGCCAAAATGTTCTCCACAGCAGCTGCACCATTTTACATTCCCACCAGCAATGTATGAAGGTTCCAATTTCGCCACATCCTTAAATTTAATAATTTTTTTAAATTTAATAATTTTGATTGCAGTTTTATAATAATGAATAAAACAGGATCGTGAATAATATCTACTGATAGGAGACCACCTAAATAAACTAGAATATAGTCATATGATGGATTATGCAGTCATTAAAATAATATATTCAAAAAACATTTATTAAAGATGTAGAAAAATGCTCAGGATATAATGGTAAGTGGCAAAGGCAGGACTAAAAACTCTAGAATGATCCAATTTCACAAACAAGAGAAAGACTAGAAGGAAATACAGCAAAATGGAGAGTGAGTTTGGGATTAAGTTTTATTAATACCTGTACTTCCCATATTTTCTACAATGAACATGTATTATTATTGTTTTGTTTTTTTTTTTTTGCGGTACACGGGCCTCTCACTGCTGTGGCCTCTCCCGTTGCGGAGCACAGGCTCCGGACGCGCAGGCCCAGCGGCCATGGCTCACGGGCCCAGCCGCTCCGCGGCACGTGGGATCCTCCCGAACCGGGGCACGAACCCGTGCCCCCTGCATCAGCAGGTGGACTCCCAACCACTGCGCCATCAGGGAAGCCCAACATGTATTATTTTAATGAATGAAAAAAGCACAAAGAATAAAATATATCATTTTCAAAGCACAGTGAGCTGTGTACCAGTCAAAAAATAAGGCTGTAAAAACAGGTGCATCTCCTAGTTAAAGGGCTATATCTTTTCAGAAAAGGGAAGGAAGATATAGCCTTACTTTAAGCAAACCTGCCACATAAAAAACACTGAAGAATGCAGATTTATACAGATATATTCAATATTTTTACCATCAATATATTATAAATCACACTTTTTTCTGATAATATTGATACAAGTAATACATGCTCATTGTAGAAAACTTGAAAATAATGTTTTTCTAATGAAGGAAACAAAATCCCTTATTACCCCACAACCTATAGATAATAGACAAAAAGCGTTCTAGAGTACTTCCTTGCATAATTCTTTATGCATACTTATATATTTTTTAAATGTGTAACTGAGATCACACTATAAATGTAGCCTATCTTCTATTTTATTTCATTTAGCTTTCTGGTATGAGCTTTACCCATAGAAGTCCACTGTATGTTATGTCCCACAATTTATTTGACCATTTATCTACTGATGGACAATTAGTTTCTTTTCAATTTTTCATTACTATAATAATCTGGAGGTAAATATGTCCATACCTAAATCTTTACCACATCTCTATTTTCTTGGGTTAGATCCCTAGAAGGCAAGTCACTGGCACCAAAGGGTATACATGTTTGAAGGTCTTCATGAATTTTATTAGGTTGCCTTCCAAAAAGTTTGTTCCAATTTACACTCCTACCAGTGTAGGACTAAGCGTTATCAGGTTTTCCTTGCTAAATTTCTAGGTTTAAGAAGATCCTGTTTTAATTTTTATTTTTTGCTTTTTAGTAGAGATGAACCTTTTTTTCATGTGAACTAAGTAATTGCATTTCCTGTTTTATCTGCTGTCCATATTTCTACTGAAATGTTATTGCTTCTTTTTTAAAAAATCAATTTGCATGAGTTCTTTATGTTTAAGAATATTAATAAGGAGAGGGAATACTTTTTGAAAACCTTCACATCACACTTCCTTGAAATATCAAGTTTCCTGGCTCATTTAAAATGAGTTTCAATTTATAAAAATCCTATCTACATATAGCTTTTACCATATAAAGTAAGATATATCTTCCCAACCTTAACCTAAAAAGAATTGGCTAATGAGAGGAAAGCAATGTACTCAGGCATGCTCCATGGCATACATAAAGAATGCTGGAAGTATGCCTATTGATAATATAAGGAATTGCACATATCTGCCTATCAACAGACATATTTACTGCCTGTTTTTGATCTTTCCCAGGGCTCAGCATACACTAGGCAGTGATTACAACTAAGTCACATATATGCAATGCAGCTAGAAGCACAGATCTCTGTATTACGCACACATACACCCCCCACCCTTGCAGCAGAAGCAGAGAAAGAACAAATGAGGGTTTTGGAATCAGAGCTGTTCCAGCTTCATCTCATACTAATTTAATTATATGAACCTACACAAAGGTGCTTCATCTATTTCTTCATCTGTAAAATGAGGATAATACCTATCTTATGGGGTTCTTATGAGTCTTAAATGAGAGAAAGGGAAAGCACTTAGCAAGTGCCTAGTATGTATTAGGAATTCAATAAATGCTAGCAACTTTTTTCTTCCTGGGAACACCACTTCTTATTTAGCCCTTCCTTCCCCGATGCTGCCCTCCAGTGGACTAGGATTCTCCTCCCCCTGCGTAAGGTGGGTTGCACTTGAAACAGATCCAGAAGAAAATCTAGATTTGAAAAACAGGTAAAATTTATTTCTTTATTTACCAAAGAGGTTGTTTTTTTTAAACTAGAGGATATTTAAATTATGATTTGATCTACAGAAGTACAGTTGATTTGCAACTGTTCCGAAGCTTGTTTTCCACCTAAAGTTTCTTAACTAAAAATCTAGCTTGTTTCCTATCTAAATCTATCTTCCCACCCCCACTGATTTTTCCTGAGAAAAATCACCCTGACCCTCTTCTTCAACTCAGCCTTTCCCCAGGCAACATCCCTTTGGTTTTACTCACCCACACAGTTGTCACAGATGCTGCAATGAGAGGCCCGGGGAGGCCGGAAGATCTTGCATGTGTAACAGTATTTCAGCTTCACAATCTGGTTGTTTATCTGGAAATTCTTGATACGAGGGGGTGGTCGCTGGCCTTGGGGTACTGCACCATTGGTAGCTTCTGTAGATCAGTAAAGACAGTTAACACCACTGCTAGCCATTATTTAAGACCAAAAGCCTTACCACCTCTCCAAGAGCAGTGGGAGTAATCAAACGTTCCCTAGGCCCACTGTCACCCCCAGGCTGGCATTTCCAGACTAGACTCTCAACATCACAGAGTATCCTCCCCAAATTCCACTGAGTGCCATGTAATTATTTTGTGTACATGTAAAACAGTGTTTCTTCAAGCTTTTTGGCTGATTACAAAGAAAAACATTCATAAAAGAAGAAATAAAAATGGCTAAAAAACATATGAAATGAAAACATACAACTTTACTGATAATCGAAGACATTAACATAAAGATACCATTTCCACCTTCTATATTAACAAGTATTAAAAAGAAGAACCTAGGGGCAGGACAGGAATAAAGACACAGACATAGAGAATGGACTTGAGGACATGGGGAGGGGGAAGGGTAAGCTGGGACGAAGTGAGAGAGTGGCATGGACATATATACACTACCTAATGTAAAATAGATAGCTAGTGGGAAGCAGCCGCATAACACGGGGAGATCAGCTCGGTGCTTTGTGACCACCTAGAGGGGTGGGATAGGGAGGGTGGGAGGGAGGGAGACGCAAGAGGGAGGAGATATGGGGATAGATGTATATGTATAGCTGATTCACTTTGTTATAAAGCAGAAACTAACACATCATTGTAAAGCAATTATACTCCAATAAAGATGTTAAAAAAAAAGAATAAAAATACCCAGTGTTGGCAAGGATAGGCAGAAGGTATTTTTATACATTACCAGTAAGCAATATGGCAGTGACTACCAAAATTTTAAATGTGTTTACTTTTTAAAAAAATTAATTAATTAATTTATTTTTGGCTGAATTGGGTCTTTGTTGCTGCGCACGGGCTTTCTCTAGTGGCGGCAAGCGGAGGCCACTCTTCATTGCAGTGTGTGGGCTTCTCATTGCGATGGCCTCTCTTGTTGCGGAGCATGGGCTAGGTGTGCAGGTTTCAGTAGTTGTGGCACATGGGCTCAGTAGTTGTGGCTAGCAGGTTCTAGAGCACAGGCTCAGTAGTTGTGGCGCACGCACTTAGTGGCTCCGCAGCATGTGGGATCTTCCCAGACCAGGGCTCAAACCCGTGTCCCCTGCATTGGCAGGCAGATCCTTAACCACTGCGCCACCAGGGAAGCTCCTAAAACTTTTGACCCAGCCATTCTACTTCTAGGAACTTATCAAAATTACAAAGAGATGTACAAAAGATGGTGACACAGGATATTTGTCACAGAAGTCCCTTTTAATAGTGAAAGACTGAAAATAACCTCAATATCATAATAGGAGGTTGGTTAAGTACATTATGATATATGCATGGGATGGAGTATTATGCAGCCATTTCAAATGATGTACACATTTTAAATATTCACAACATACTGAAAAATGAAACTGTACACTAAAAAGAAGCATTTTACCTTGCAAAAGTAAAATATATGCATGAAAAAAGACTGGTAATATTTAGAATCAGGAAAACAATTATTTAAAAATAAGAGTAATACATGCTTATTGTAAAAAATTTGGAAAAAACAGAAAATATGAATAAAAGACAAAAAAATCACTGATGGTCTCTCAACTCAGGGATATTTATGCATTTTGGTATATTTCCTTCTACTTTTTTTAATTTCAAATAAATTTTTACTTATTTATTTATTTATTTTTGGCTGCAATGGGTCTTCGTTGCTACACGCAGGCTTTCTCGAGTTGTGGCGAGCAGGAGCTACTCTTCGTTGCAGTGTGTGGGCTTCTCATTGCAGTGGCTTCTCTTGTTGCAGAGCACAGGCTCTAGTCGCGTGGGCTTCAGTAGTTGTGGCTCGCGGGCTCTAGAGCGCAGGCTCAGTAGTTGTGGCGCACGGGCTTTGTTGCTCCATGGCATGTGGGATCTTCCCGGACCATGGCTCGATCCCGTGTCCCCTGCATTGGCAGGCGGATTCTTAACCACTGTGCCACCAGGGAAGTCCCTTTCCTTCTACTCTTAACAAATAAATAAACATTCATGATTTTTTAAATTTGAGATTATATTTTAGATACAATTTTTTACCCTGTATTTTTCACTTAACGTTATACAGTAAGCATTTTTCCATGGTTGTTAATTTTTTTTCTGAAAACATCATTATTGGCAATACAATGTTCTATCATATGCATGCACTGTAATTTATTTAACCAATTCATGTTATTGGGCATTTAAGTTGCCTCTGGTATTTTGCTATTTAAATGATGCTGCATGTAAAAACTTAAAACATTACAGACAAAGCTTAAGTCCCCTTTGATCTCCACCCTAATCCCAACCCCCTCCTCCCTTCCTCAAGAATATGTTCATGTGTTAAAATTAATTTCTAAAACATAAAGAAAAAAAGAAAAGCATGTTGAAGTCTGAGCAGTAATATATGAAGTTGCTGGCATTAAAATAGCTAGGAAAAAGAAAAAATGATGCATTAAAAATCCTTCTACAAGTATTTGTGTAAATCTCTGATTATTTCCTTTAGCTAATCCTGAGAGAAGTGAAATTACTGGCTCAAAGGGTATGAACCCTTAAAGCCCATATCACTTATTGGGAAACTGCTTCCCAGACAGATTGTATCAATTTGCATGCCTGCCCATCTGCAGCATATGAGAGTGCCTGTCTCATTGCACCCTTGCTGTGCAGGATAATTCTAAAAACAGAATATTTTTTCAATTCACTTTGATTTTAAAAATATCTGCCATATGGAACTTTTTTCCTTTTTTAGCAGAGTGGGGTGGATGCTGTGAAATCAAACAATAACAGTGTGACACAAGTCTTAAAGAATGGGGATAGCTATTCATTAGAGGATGACATAAGTACCAGCATGCCACCCTAACATTCCTCTGCATGTACTTTACATGAGGGCACCTGGGAGAGAGTTCAAGGCTCTCCCACCCCATGAGGTGCGCTATGATGCAAGGGAACCAACCACATGTCTACTTCTCTCCCCCACCCAGACCCTACCCACAGCATACCCAGTACAGGGCTGAATGTAAGTTGACAAAAACTTGCTAACATAAACATACGTATGAACTCAAGAACGCACTCTACTATTGAGAGAAACATGCTAAATGCAGAGGTAACAGCCTGACAGCTTAAGCCTGGGCCCCGGGCCCAGCAATCTGGCAAAACAGAGCTAACCTTGCTAACAGCCTGCTGTGAGAGGCAAGATCAAGCCAAGGCACTGCCTTGACCTTCGGTTTCTCTATACGTGATGGAAAGAGGAGGACAAAAGACTAAGCCAGAGAGAGAAAAGACTACACTCACAACTGTCCCTTCCTATCTTGCTCCTAACTAGTCCAGGTCTCCCCCAACTCCAGCTGCCGCCAACACACCTCGCCTCTGTTTCCTTCCCACAATTCCCACCTTCTCCCCACCCCTAAGTAGTTTGAGCTCAGATGTGCACAAATCTATGTCCCCTTACCGCAAGTAAAATAGGCTGAAATTTTTCAAAAAGAAATCCACTAAGAAGCTAAATAAACACAGCTAAATAAACAAAAGAAATACAAAAGCTGGAAGCCTTCAAAGCAACCTAAAAAAGTATCAAATCAAAACGTTGTACACCTTAAACTCACACAATGTCGTATGCCAATTATATCTCAATAAAACTGTGGGGAAAAAAAAGAAACCAACTAGAACTGGGGGAAAATATTTCCTTGACAACAGCATGCATATAAACAGGAATAAACTCAATATGAGAAGTATAGAAACTATGTTAAAAAAAACTATAAAAATTCTATTAAAGGGCACAAAATTCAGTCTAAAAATACAGAAAGATGTACTATCTTCTTGGGGATAATTATACATAATAATTATACAAGTGTAAATTCTCTCAAAAATAATATATAAATATAATACCTATTAGAACCCCAATGTGTTTGTCTTTTTAATTCAATAAAATATTAAAATCCCAACAAACAAACAACAACAACAACAACAACAACAAAGCACCTGAAAGAACTAAAGGCTAACCACAGATTGGTACCCCAATGGTACAGCTTTTAGTCTTACAAGTCCTGGGTCCCTTTCTTCTACTCTACGTGGCTTGGATGCTGACTCTAGCTACTTGGGTACCAGATTTGAGAACAATTTAGGCAGAACACCACTGTTGGATCTGGTGGGCTCCAGTCCCTCCTAGTACTGGCATCAGAGCCTTCTTTCCCAGTGTGAGCTCCAGGAGTCTCCCAGGAGTGTGAGCTCCCAGGAGTCTGCCAGGAGCTCCCCTCCTCGAGTCCTGGGATGTTCTGCTTCAACTCATGAAGGCAGCCTGGCTCCTGGTTAGTGTAGCTCTTCATTTCTGTCCCAAAGAGCCCTACCCTGAGCTGCAGACTGTACTGTGATTAGCCTGTAACTACTTCCTTTACCATTTCTATAATTCCCAATGGTTCCTGTCCCCTCTCATCTTGTGTGTTCCCCTAAAGCAGGAATCCTTGGTTAGAAACCCACTCATGTGCTTCAAAAGATCTATGAATCCCTGAAATTATATCCAAAATTGTATGTATGTGATGCATATAAGAATATTTTTATGAAGAGGTTTATAGTCTTCATCAAGAAAATCAAATGAGGGACTTCCCTGGTGGTCCAGTGGTCAAGAATCCACCTTCCAATGAAGGGGACGCGAGTTTGATCCCTGGTTGGGGAACTAAGATCCCACATGTGCGGGGCAACTAAGCCCACGTGCTGCAACTACTGAGCCCATGCACTCTGGAGCCTGTGTGCCACACTACAGAGCCCACACGCTCTGGAGCCCACATGCCACAACTAGAAAGAAGCCTGCGTGCCACAACTAGAGAGAAACCTGTGAGCCACAACTAGAAAGAAGCCCACGCACTGCAACGAAAGATCCCGCGTGCTGCAACTAAGACCCAACACAGCCAAAAATATAAATAAATAAATAAATTTGAAAAAAATCAAATGAATTGGGCTTCCCTGTTGGTACGGTGGTTAAGAATCCGCCTGCCAATGCCGGGGACACAGGTTCAAGCCCTGGTCTGGGAAGATCCTACATGCCGTGGAGCAACTAAGTCTGCGTGCCACAACTACTGAGCATGCACTCTAGAACCCGTGAGCCACAACTACTGAGCCCACGTGCCACACTACTGAAGCCCACATGCCTAGAGCCTGTGCCCCGCAACAAGAGAAGCCACCACAATGAGAAGCCCGTGCACCACAGCGAAGTGTAGCCCCCGCTCACCACAACTAGAGAAAAGCCTGAGAGCAGCAATGAAGACCCAACGCAGCCAAAATAAATAAATTAATTAAATAAATACAAAAAAAATCAAATGAGTTGACGACCCCCAAAAAGTTTTTAAAAAAATCCTCTTGTGAACAGTGCAGCAGGACCTTGGCAAGATATCCCTCCTAAAATGCAAGCCAGAACAGGGAAGAATGAAGTTCACATTCTTCACAGGGTGGTAATGACCTCAGATTCAGGATCTCAGAGGGAAAAGGGTAGAAGTGATTATTAGCCTGCAACTACAATTATGATTCCATTCCCTTACTAATCAAAGCCCCCCACTGTACAATATCTTGCCAGCTGGTTAGAAAACTCACCTATCTCCATTTCTATGAAAGCTGCTTCATCTGGTAGGGCCCGAGGGATCACTCCAGGATCACTGAAGCTGGTCCTCAACAGTGTAGCCATGGAGAAAAGGAAGAGCACAGCAGCAAACACAGGGATGGCAGGAGACAGCTGGACAGCCAGGTAGCGGCATCTGAAGAAAGCAAGCAATTGAACATCATCTAGTTATTCCTACCCTATACTGACCTGGAATTGTTACCAGTATGTCAATCTGATCTCCACAACAAAATTAAAGTACCTCAAGGGCAGGGACCATATTTTTTACTTCTCTCGAATTACTGAAAAGTCCTAACATTTGGTTCTGCACATACTAGGCGCTCAACAAATACTTCACTGATCGATGCCACCTATGACATACAGAAGATAGCCTCAGGAACCTCCGTTACACTCAAGCCCAGTCCCTCCCATCAGCCTGCTGGGGGTCACATTTCCTCTGTACCTCAGCAAAGGCTCATACCTGTTCAGGTCAGGGACCCAACTGAACCTGGATTGTAAGCACCATAGGTTGCTCTCACTCTGGGAATGTCTAGAGCTTTTCATACCCACTCATCTGGCGTTAGGCCTGAGCTCACGGAGGGGGGAGAAAAGATGAGGACCAGTCATGAAGCAGAGTCCCAGTGTCAGACAGACGGTATGTCCAGCGTGCTTGAAGGCCAGTGAAAAGCTTCAGGGCTGCTGACTGACTCTGCAACATCCACTCACTCCTCTTCCTTCCTCAAAGACCTGAGCCAATAGGTGACTAGTGACCATAAGCAAGGGAATAAGAAAATTGTATCGCCTTAGCACCCCTTCTCAACATGATGTTTGTTCCCCTCTTTCCATAATTCGTCTGGAAGGCCATTCCTCTTTCTCTCTGGATATCCCAGCTCTACTCGTCTTTCAGATCCAAAGCCATCAATGCTGTCACTGTCATCATCACAGCCACAATTTACTGAGCACACACCATATGCACTAAGCTCTTTAGGCGCATTACAGCATCCACTTCTCACACTACATTTATAATAGCTGAAGAATCTGGGATTTAGCGAGGTCTTGGCTCTTCCAAAGGCCTATCCTAAACTGCACTGTTTTTCACTATGTTGACCTCATCTCCCCCAAATGAACTTCATAAGAGCAAGAACCTTGTCTTTTAGGAGTGGGAATGCCTGGGTTTGAATTCTGGCTCTACCAGCTCCTAGTTGGGTAACTGAGTTAACTTCAGTCTCCTTATCTGTGAAATGAGGATGATAATGACAGTATTTCATAGGGTGGTTGTGTGGTTCAAATGCGTGAATAGAAATAAAGTGCTTAGAACTGCCCTTGACACATAGTAAACACTAAGTAAATGTCAGTTATTAACATTTTCATCACGGTTCTCTGTCTCCCAGAGCCTAATACAAGTATGAGAACAAAGAGGCTATCAACAAATACTTGTCGAGTTGAACTGAGCATCAAACCAAATAAATGGGAAGACACGTAATTAGAGTTACCACTGACCTATGTTCACTCTCCTCCTCCTGAGGCATATTTTCTCCTTCAACATAGACATCTTCTCTTGGAGGCAGACCATAAGTGGATGAGCAAGGACCAGAGGCAGAGTGAAGAAAGTAAGCTAAGGAAAAAGGCTTATCTTATCTGCACAGGGATTAAGCAAGCTGCTGTCCACTCAGAGTAAACGTTTAACCCTGGGTTGTACCTTCGCTGCAGGTTTGGAACAATCCCCATGAGATCCTCCCCCTGCCTCCGTGCCACACACACGACTGCATGGGGAGTTCAAACCAACTGTACTGAGCAGTTTGCCATGAAGGTGAACATATGGAGTGAACTTGCAAAATGATTTCTGTGGCTTTTTGTTTGCTTGCCTGCTCGTTTGTTTTTTAATAAAATCCTTGGTCTTAGCTTGCTTTTGTAAGATTTTTTTCCTTCTCCTAAAAGCCAAGGGTAGGATCTGGCTAACTGAGTTCAGGGTAACGAAGGTCCTTGCATATCACTCGCTTGTGGATTGCCCTCTTTTCCACTGTTCCCCTTCACTGGTACAGATAATTAAGAAGTGAATTCAGAAAAGTCACCTCCACTTCTCAGGGACCCAAAAGGACACAGGAGAATCATGAGGCTCCGTTTCACAAACAAGCCAAATGAAATTACCACGCTGACAGAAAACAGCCATCTTCCTCATCACTGCCCATCTCTAAAATCACTCGTGAAAACAAAGAAGTGACGTCTCCAGGATTCAAACTGCCCTGGGTGTATAGTCTCCAACGAAAACCCTTAGAAAAATCAGAGCCATCTGATTGGCCACCTAAGGGAGTTTAAACTGTTTTATTAGAGGGAAAAGATACAGAGAAGGTAGAACACACACACACCCACACACACACACACCCCCCCACACACACACATACTAATGTCGCCCCCATGCACAGAAGGCCCAAGCTTAATTAAGTCCCATTTCAACACCTGCTTGTTGACCGGACAAAGGACAACTTAGATTTCAATTACACTATGCCATTAAGGATAAAGGTCTCTGTAATCTCCACAGACTATCATCTGCACCTGCTAAAACAATCCACTCTGTATGTCAACAAGTACACAACAGGCCCATTGTATTGTTCTCCAGAGACAAGGATACTGGCAGCCAGTTGTCACTAGTGAGTGGGTGTGGCTGGCAAGGCAGATGTGGGACCAGCAGGCCTTTCTACCCCAAATAAGAAGAAATAAGAGAGCCAGCGGCTAAGACCACTGTGAACTACAACCCATCTGTCTGTCTTTAATACCCACCTAGGTCAGTCCCATAATTGCAGTAAGCTAGAGATCTGTCTTGTATAGGAATAAGCTATGTGAAGATTTGGGGGTAATTCCCAGTATCGACCTCAAAAGTCAGGAGTATCCTCAAACATCACTAATTTGTCCTAGTGAAACACGGATCTGTCATCCACAAATATAAGCTGTTTTTGAAACCCCATAGTACTTTCCATCTATATCGATACGAATAATGATATCCATACACTTCTTGACACAGAACTCTCCTTTGTCTTCAGAGTACCAGGGGGTTAGAAGTTGCTTTTCTCCCTTGTGAATCTTATAAATGCAACCAGGTGCCCACTAAGTCTTCATTTCTGCCACCTGAAGAGACATCATCATTTTAAGCCATCCTCTACCAAACCTCTTGATTGGCCTCAGGCTTCCATAGCTGGACTAGACGACAGGACTCCCCCATGGTGGTACTGACCAGCAGTAACCAGCAGTGCCAGGCTGAGCTGGTGTGTCATGTCCCATCCCCCATCCCTAGCACACTAGCGTTCATTGGAGGGACAATGATAATGACACAGACTTCAATTCACACAAAAAAAACTCAAAAGAGATTCATGAGGGGAGCTGGTAAGAAACCAGACAGATTCTATGGCAGGGCTGCCTCACAGACCGGCAGGGTGGACTAGTGTTCTATACTCTGCTTCAAAGTCTCCCTAATAGCTTTCTTGCTATGTTTTTTGTTGTTGTCCTTTTATCAATGCAATCAATCAGCCAACAAGTATTTATGGGTCTAACAAATGAAGAGCAAGAGAAATGGGAGTTAATTTTGTTGAGGAAAACATAACTAACATATGAAACGGCTAAATAAGATAAGACCAATAATCAAGTGTTCACATGGTGAGTCAGACTCTAAGGACTGTAAGCGGTCAGAGAAGAGCTCTCTTGGGAAGCTGATGGCTGCTTGAAACTGCTCCCATAACAGCCATTAAGGTTGGCTTTAAGAAGAGCTGTGCTTGGAACGGCAGGAATGGCCCAAGGGTTAGAGCCCCAGAATGGCCCTTGATCCCAGATAACAGAAATAAGCCTTTGCTATAAGTCCTCCCTGAGATGGATGGCTGTCTGTCCTTTTACATATGACCTACCTCTAGAGCACAGTAAACATGTACAACCACCCATAAGACTGGTTCAACATTCTTCTGATGACACTCAGAGTCTGCTACAAGGGAAAAAGTTTCCTTGGACACTAAAAACATAATTTAATATCACCCTCCAGATTTACTGCTATGTAAAGGTCAAAGGAAAATGCATAACCCTGTTTTGCTCCAGGAGCAATGGGGAAAATTAACCAAACAGGGACCTTTTCAATTGTGAGGCAATGAGCCATCCTCTGACTGAGGAAGGCCAAAATCTCTATCCAGGCAAACCTGCTAAGTAGTCGCCAAATTTCAGTTATAATAATAAATTTCACGTTTCAATTATAAGAAATATAAAAAATTTCAATTATAATATCCTCCTGATCAAGAACTTACAACAATTCCCTGCTGCCTATTATATTAAGCCCCCCACTCCTCAGGCCAGTATTCCGAGGCCCTCCTTGAACTGGCCTTATCTAATCATTATCATAAGGTTCTTGCTTGCTCCTTGCTCCATTCCAGACACATCTCCCTCATTACCCTGAATTCACTAGCCTCTTGTTATTGCAAGAGGCATAAGATGCCTTTTTTTGTTCTTAAACACAATACCACCTCTGGCATCTCTGAGGAGGAAGATTTAGGACTCCTCTCCCTCAATAAACATCTCAACTGATGTAGGCATGCTAGGGACATCCCTGTTCTTTGTGCTCACTTTTCCTAAAATAGACAATCACTATACTCTATTAAGACTCATTCTCAAAAGATGGGAGACTCATTCAGTGGAGATTGACAGTGTGAAACTCATTACCACAAAAGGTAGTAGAGGCTGAAAATATACAGATGAATTCTGAATGATAGAACCGTAAAGAATTGTTAACGGAAAGCACACTGTTCAGGAGACATGACCCAATCCTTCTCCAGGGGACATGCTTTATCAGGAAGTTGAGTTTAGCTAAGTACTGTTAACAGATTGATATCAAAGAGGCAACTATGCCTTTCTAAAACTGTCTTTGGTTGACCAAGTCACAGACAGAATCTTGGGCGGGATAAGCACAAGACTGAACCTCCATAGAGCAGCTCTCCAGAGAATACTCTCTTGGTTAGAGATCATGATAAAGCCACTTTTTCCTCTTCCTAATCTCACCTAAGGAATTCAGGAACCTGGACCTTGTCACTGTAGGCACAGATATTCTGCCATGTCAGAGTCTGGCTTTGGTCTACCTAGCCCTGTGTCTCCTCAAACCTGCTAAGTTTGTTATCAGATTGCCTCTTC